CCAGACTAGAAGGCATTTGCAACATACAACAAAGGATTTGTATCCTAAACAGCAACAAAAAAAGGGGGCAGGAAGGGGAGACTCACACAGCCTCACCCTGCAACTCTACAAATGAGGAAATCTAAATAGCCAACAAATACATGAAAAGCTGTTCAACCTGATCATTCATCAGATAAACGGAAAGTTTATCAGATTGGCTGGTTTGAAAAACTAGCAAAACTCCGACTTAAAAGGAATCAGAAGCCTTGAAAACTCACATACATTAATGAAGGGAGTGTAATTTGATAGCACACTGAGGAACGGTGTGACTTGTTTGTATCCTGAGAGGTGAAGAAAAGTAAACCTCCACTAGGGCCACCCAAACCCTGACATTTGAGAAGTAGGTGGGCAGCAGGTGATGGGTTGGGGGGACACTCACAGCGGCTTTGTGCCCAACTGCCTCAAACTGGAAACCGGTCAAGTATCTAGCCACAGGGATAATAGCAAAAACTGTGGAAGGTACTTAAATTAGATTGTGGGATTGTGCTTAAAGGTGCTTAAGGAATGCAAATTGAAGCATCCTAGGGAAGAGAGTGTCCTTCACACTTCGCCCTTTCAGGCCTCATCCACTCTTCTACAAGCAAAGACTGATCATTATTGCTCCCTCATCCCTGCTTCCATAAAAATGGAAAGTTTCCTTCTCCCTCACTTCACACAGCGCATGGGGAGAACCGTGCACCTAAGACTGAAACACCTAACTTCTCGACCTGAGGGTAGGAACCTGAGCATCTGATAAAGCATGATCAGGGCCGGAGCAACAGTACAGTGAGTAGGGCAAGTCTAGGGCACTTGACATGCATGCCACTGACCCAGGTTTGATCCTGAGCATCATGACATAGGGTCTCCAAGTACTGCCAGAATTGATCCTTCAACACAGTACCAGGATTTAGCCCTGAGCACCACCAGGTATGGCCCCCAAACAGAAAAGAAAGAAAAGGAAGGAAGGAAGGAAGGAAGGAAGGAAGGAAGGAAGAAAGAAAGACAGACAGACAGACAAGACCACTTTTTGTTAAGTCATCTCCTAACTATGAAAGCCTGGGAAAGTTTCTGAACAACAGTAAATTTGCCAAACTTTCTAAACTATTTCCCCCAAACTCACCCTATTTCAGCTTCATTCATGTAAAACGTTTTACAATTTCTGCTCCAAGCAGTGCATGAGCTAAACATCTGGTATAAAGGCAAAGACATGGTATCCAGTCTACTAAGAGCAAGGCTATGACTGGAGGCCAGATTTCTCCTGACCACACCGAGCACCCGCCAGCCAGCCTCTCCCCTAAACTTCTGCAATGTTCACTATTCTCAGGGGCAGGACGACAGCCCAAGCCATACAGAGCATGCCTAGCACATGCAAGGTGGAGTTCAATCCTAAGCACTGCTAGAGATCGTCCCTACTATAGGAAAAAAAAATAAAATAAAACATGGTTGGAGAGTCCTACCCACTGGGCTCAGGCTTTCTTGCAAGAGACCTGGGGACAATCCCTGGAGCACTGTCAGGAATGACAAGCACCAAGTCAGGGTCGCCCCTGAACACTGCTGGGTGTGGCCCCCAAACAAAAAAAAAAAAAACCAAAAACAAAAATAGGAAAAAACAAAAAATAAAAACTTTCCACATCTTCTTTTTCCCCCCAATCATCCATTCACCAACTCAAACTTCCACTCTAAGTTTCAGGTAAGACTCTTACCCTTGGGCCAAGAAAGGGGATGCACTGGAGCTTATTATTGCTGAAATGGGCAAAAATTTGCTAAGTATAGAAAAGATTGTTCCAAGCCCCAGGAGAGCACCTACCCAGCAGTTCAAAAAACCCCTACACACACACACACACACACACACACAGACCCCACACACAGGTCAAAGAGCATCCAGGCAGCACTACCTTTTGGGATCACAGCCTCATGTGCAGTGTGTGAAAGGTTGCAACGAAGGTGTGTGGCCCTGAGTGAGCAGCACAACCAAGATCCCCGCGAGCACTGTGAAACTGTATGTAAGCACCAAAGCCAAATGCACAATCCTGGCCACTAATGCCACAGTAACAACAAAAGGAGGGGCACAGAGAAGTTTCCCAGGGCCAGACAGAGCGCAGCAGCATGCAGGTTCAATCCCTGGCACCCTGCAAATCCCAAGCACAGAGACAGGAGGGGTCGCCCCTGAGCACCACTCAGGGGGCCCAAAAACAAACTGAAGAAGTGGAAGACTCCCAACCTGCGTGGGATTTTTATGAATAAAAGATTGGGCTGGGGAGAAAGTACAGTGGGTAGAGCAAATGCCTTACATGCAGCTGCACCAGGTTTGATCCCTAGCACCCTATAAGGTCCTCCCAGAGTCCTGCCAGGAGTGATCCTCCAGTGTAGAGCCAGGAGGAAGCCCTGAGCACTGCTGGGAGTGGCACAAAAAAAAAAAAACAGAAAACAAAAATAAGACTGAAGTGTTTTATTTCAGGACGATTCTAGACAATCTATGGAACACAAATAAGACAGGGAGAATGCATTATACTCATAGTCCTAGAAAAAAACAAAAGTAAGCCAAAACATACATCTTTTATGGAATGTCACAAAACTAACACTATCCCAATACCAACACACTTAATTCCCTTTTGCCACTTTCACTCTCTGTGCCTACATGATAAATTTCCTAAATCTCCTCTTCCACCTCCACCCCAAATGCACCAAGTTCAAGGCTTCTATCTTCCTGTTTTCCACCTCTGTAATTCTTTATCGCTATCTTCTCACAACCTCAATACTCTCTCCCAATCGAGGGCTTAAACTTCTTCAAGAAGCAGAGGAAGCCATTTGTAATCTAGCCTCTCCTCCACCAAAACCAAAGTACACTCAACACTGAAAAACAACACTCCCAAGGTAAGGCACCAGCCTCTTTCTGAAAGTAACACTCTGCCCACCCCTCAAGACTCCAGTTTAAGCTTCACCCACGAAACTGACATTCGGTCAATCGTGCCTCTAAATTAATGCCTGGGGCGGGCAGGGGGTTGATCTTCACTCCTGGTCCACTCCACCAAAGCGCTTTCAGCCACACCTGCCTCCTTTTCCAGCTCCCCTGAATCCCTGCCACCGACAGACGTGCGCGACCAGATCGCTTGGCAGGTTTCAAGCACCCTCCCTTCTCCACCCTTCACCTTTCGACCTCCTCCGCTGTTGGAACTTCCATCCCCAAGTTTCTTCCAAAGTGCGTGGTGGTGCCCCCTCTACCTCAACACAGCCCCCCCACCTCCTTCTCAACACCGCCCCGATGCCACGACTCCTCGCGCTGCTCTCAACTCTGCCATCCACCACACCCAAGCCCATCCTTAACTTGCCCCAGATACCCACAGGCTCATCCTTCCCCATCCTTTCACCCACGCCCACGTCGCCCCTGGCTCCCCGCACCGACATCGCCACAACTGTACCTCCCCCTACTCTCCCCGGGGGTACCTGCTCCCACACCTCCAATTTCTGCTCCCATTCACCGCCTCACCAGTCCCCCAGACACTCCCCGAGCCACCCCGCCGCTCACTGCCCCGCCCCCACCGTTCCTTCCAGGTCGCTCCCAGGCAAAAATCTCCCCCGCCGCCCGACCACCGAGCCCCGCCCCCGCCGCGGCCCGGCCACGCCCCCCAGCCCGGAGCCCCGCCCCGTGCCCTAGAGGCCCTGGCAGGGGCGGGGCCTCTCCCTCCTCCCTAACCCCCGCCCCCTACCGTCACGCTCAGGGGCAGCCTGACCCCGAGCGGCCCCGCGGTGACCCTCGCGCAGAGGCCTGTGGGAGGGGCGTCACAAGCCCCGATTCCACCCCCCCGCCCTCCGCCCCCCTCCCGCTCAGTCTCCTCCCCCTGGGAGCGCGCGGGGTGGGTGACAGACCTGGCTGCGCGCCACCGCCACCGCGCCTGCCAGGGGCGCCGCCGGTGCCTGCCAGAGAAACCGCGGCCGCCGCCCGGAGGAGGTGCCGTCGCCTCCGCCGCCGCTGCCGCCGCCGCCAGGGGTAGGAGCTAAGCCGCCGCCATTTTGTGTCCCCCTGTTGTTGTCGTTGACATGAATCCGACATGACACTGATTACAGCCCAATGGAGTCTCATTAAACCCGAGCCGCGGCCCCGCCCCGGCGCTGCTCCATTGGACGAGACGGCAGACACTGGGGGCCCCTCGTTGGCCTACAGGTCTGCCCGTCACGCGTACACTCGCCACTCTGCAGCCCATTGGGGCAGACTCCTGCCGGTCATCTCGCCTCCGCATAGACACACCCCTCGACCCACATTCCCCCCCTTCGGCACCGCCCCAGGGGCGGGCCCACTGCCAGCGCCAATCAGCAGGCCCCTGGGCCCGCCCCTGCCGGGTGCCTATTGGCCCAGCCGCCCTTCGCTCTCGCAGGCAGCGCGCCACCTCTACTTCCACCTACCCGCCTCCTCCACGTCTGGAAAGGGATTGGGTCAGCGCGCAGGAGAGGCGCCGGGCCCTATTGGCTGGGGGCCACGCCAATCAGGGCCCTGCTCCCTCTCCCCTCCCCCACGCCGCCCCAAACCCCTAGCCCGCAGCTAAAGTTTGTGTGAGAGCTGATCGCTGGCGGCGGCCGCAGGATGGAAGGGTGGGCGCGGGCGGGCGCGCGCGAGCGGGCACGCGAAGTTAAAATTCGAGGTTCTCCGTCGCCAGCTCCCGCGGCGGAGCGCGCGGACGGGCGCGCCGCCCGGAGCGTTCCATCCCGCCCCCTCCTCCACCCTCCTGCGTCCCGTCCTGGGCGACTACTCGCCCGCCCCCTGGCTTGCATCCTTACCCCCGCACACCCCCTACCCTGCAAGCCCCCGGCCGGGTGCAGGCAGAACGGTCTCGCTGCAGCCTCCTCACCGTCCCGTGCCGAAGGGAAGCAAGCCCCTGCCCGCCGGGCGTGCACCCCCCCCCCCCCCCCCGGCTCCACACTCGCCCGTGTCTGCAAGCACGTGCACCGTTCGCCGCTGCCTCCAACCACCCGGGTCCCCGGCTAACCTCGTCTGCAGCCCGGCCAATCGTTTGCTGCCCTTTGTTGCTGCAGCCCGGGTCTTCCCCGCTGCCTTCCTCAGCCTCCGCCTCGTCCTTTGCCAGCCGCCCGGGTCCGCAGCGCCGCGCTCCCCCCGCCCGGGACCCACCGCCGCCGCCGCCTCCTTCTCCTCCTCCGCCTCCTCCTCCTCGGCTCCGGGCTGCAGCGCACAGAGCCCGAGGCAGCGCCGCCCAGCCCCGCTCCCCCCGCGCCGCCAGCTAGCCCGCCCGGCCCGGCCGGGGGCGCAGCCCGGACCCCGCCCGCCTCTGTCCCCGCCCCGGGGGTACCTGCCTCCGCCCTGGGGGGCTCCGCTCGCCGCCCTCGTGGGAGGCGGAGATGCCGGTGTCCGTGGGAGGATGGGGACGCCTGGGCCTTTGGGGGCGGGAGTGTGCCCGCCGGAGCCGGGACTGAGAGGTGCGGTCCTCGCCCACGAGCCCCCCTCCCGCTGCCGTGGCCCAAAACTTGTCCCGCGCCCCGACCTCGCACCCTGGGGCGGTCGCGGCGGTGCAGGGATGGGGACGCCCGGGGAGCCGGGGCTCCCCTGATCTGGAGGAAGAGGAGCCGTGACATTCAGTGACTGCGGACAGGGCACAGCGGCGGCATCCCTGGTGGGAGTGGGGATGCCAGGGGCGCGCTGGAGGGGCCGCTACCCGCACGGTGCCCTCTCCGGCCTGCTGGAGCGGGCAGCCCCCGAGCAGAGGTGCTGGGGAGGGCCGAGGGGTGGGGCCCTCCCCCACCCACCCACCCACCCAGCCAGCACTTGAAGGCAGGCTGATGGCGAAGTTCAGTTTTCCAGGCTTCCCCTGGGCCCCCTGAGTTCCTGAGGCCCACATGAAGGGGGCTGGGGGGGCTCCTCTGGCCGCCCAGCCCGGGCCATTCTGCTGCTCACTTGCCCCCCAGCGTCCTCCGAACCCTCAAAAGTGGGTCTGTCCTGCATCACCGAGAATAAGTGGGGCGCGGGGGCGGGGGGCGATTCGGTAAATAGGCCAAGGAGGGTCGAGGAATGGCTGCTGCAGAGTTGGAGAGCGAAGTTTCCCCGGGGCGCCGCTGCTTCCGGAGGGGAGAGCTGTGGTTTGCCCTAGAGCCAAGTTCCAGGCACGCTGGCCCAGTGGACGGCCACCTGTTGGCCGGGAGCGCCCTGAGCCGCGGCTACCTTGGCCCGGGTGGGAGTGACACGAGGTGTCCCGGAGAGGAGGCCCTGGGCTTCCTCCCTTGCTGGGCTCCTGGGTCCCGGGCCCTGCCGGCAGCTGCAGCAGGTAGGGAGCGGCTGGGCGCAGGGTCCCTTCTATAAAGGTGGCCCACTCACTGTCTCGGCTGTGTCTTCACCACCAACTGAGCCTCTTGGCAGCAAGGTGAGAAAGGGGCGAAGACAAAGGGCACAGAGTGGATGAAAGCATTGAAGAAGGGAGAGGGGGAGCCCAAGAGTTGTAATACTGCACTCAGAACTGTCACGGGTTCCATTATACACCCCTTTTATAGGTGTTTTATTGCTTTGTTGTGAGTTTTTAAAAACACAAACCTCTCTAGGTTGAACCTTGGCTTTCACAGGCTCAGCCCAGGAAACAAAACACAGGGAAAGCCAAGCCACCCACCACACGGTTAGCCACTTCAGAGTGTCATGATAAAAGGCAGGTTGAACTTCCTTAGTCTCTTTAACGACCCCTCACGCCCCCTTTTAGCATCTTCAGTAGCTCACGCTCAAGGTGACTTTACAAGCCATTAGTTCATAACTCAGTCTTGTTCGTTAAGTATTTCCAAGAAAAAGACATATTTATAAGGAAGCTTTTTAAATAATGCAGGTGCTGGGACTTCTGTTCTCCGAGAAGTTATTAAGTGAACTTGAAGCTACATTAGCCTTCCCCCACACACACACACACACACAATCCATGGTCCACCCAGATGCCCTTTATTTTGTAAGTTGGATTTGAGTCCCCCAATTGCATTTTATCTTAAGCAGTAAAAATAAACCATGTCTTAATTAGAAACAAGTTTCAAAACCCCAAATCTGTATCAAGTAAGCTAAAGAAACAACCAAAGGCATAAAAACCCCAAATCCCTGCCTAGAAGAGTCAGCAGCAGCAGACTGGAGAATGATGAACATCTTGCACGTGTTATCACTAATGTGCATCAAGATATGAGACCGCGCATGAGAGGAAAGGGTCGCTTTTGCCTAAACGTGGCTCCAGCAAGCCCAGAGGTCGGCGGCCACATAAGAGAGCGTTCTCTTTATCCAGCATCTCCATGTGAAGGGGTGGGGGCATCTTCACAAATACAAAGTTCTCCAACAGGGCAAGGCAATGAATAGGAATGCGGTCCTTGGCCACTACTGTGCCCCTCTGAGAAAACCTAGCTCTTCCCACTCCTGGGACTGGAAACAGACACAGTGATCCTCGGTGCTTACTCCTAGATTGCTCTCTTATCTGTGGTATCTTGAATTGTCTGCTCAGCTAAACAGCTCAATTAAGTTATCCTAGTAAAGCCATGGTGCAAAATTTGCGTACTGCCTGCGCAGAAAGATTATTGGATCCCAGGGCTCATCTGACCAATCCTTTTCCCTTCCCCTCACAGTTGCCAATGATCACCACTGGCCAAAGCTACTGTGACCCAGATCAACGTGGCCCACACAGCAGAGGCATCAGATGGTCTGGGAAGGAGACCCACAGATCTGTTTTCACTCCGTCTTTTCACTCGGTAGATTTGGGCTCCCAAATCTACACTTGACTCGAATCCCAGGACTTGACTTGGAGCTTTATGTTACTGAGTTTGAAACCCACCTGCCTCGACTTAACCCTCCTCTTTTCTAACAGGAAAGGCACGCTGCTGTAGTGAGTACTGGTTAGAATCCTAGATAGTCCTCAGTCCTCAGATGATTCCATGGACTGACTGACTTGTCCTGGTGATGTCGGTGGGCCCCACGGGTGACTTATGTTAATCCCCGCCACCCGATTGCTCGAGAAGCCCGCGTTCCCTCTGGATGCGTTACTCTCTCTCTCTCTCTCTCTCTCTCTCTCTCTCTCTGCTTATCCCTTTCTCTCCCTCTCCAAAAGCCTCCAAATAAAACCTGTTACTTCACTGCTCGTCTACTCCTGAAATTCTTTTCTGCGAGCGAGACAAGAACCCCAGAAACCTCGGGTAAGGCTTGGGACTGGTCTCTCCTTTCCTGCAAAGAGCAAATTCTCGCCCCAGCTTGAGTCCGTGGCTCCCCGAGCAATCGGGTGGCGGGGATTAACTCCCGTGCTGAGAAGATCAAGCGGACTTCAGGTGTGGCTTGACGGCCACCTCGTGGGGCTGGCGGGGCTCAGGCCCGTGCCGAGCAGGTGCTCACTGCAGACTTTACCAGTCCTAGCCTACCCAGGGTTCCGGGTGGCAGAGGCGGGTGAGGAGAAAGTGGCTGTCTTTCTCCTCCCCACTTCACATAAGTCACCCGTGGGGCCCACCGACATCACTGGAACCCTGAGCAAGATTTTTTTTCAAAAAAATGCAAAGGTGCTTCAGGAATCGAAGGGGACCTGAGGGTTTGATCTTTAGGTTTGTTTGCTTGCTCCGAGACAAGTCAGACAAACAACCTGATAAGAGGTATCCCTTTCACACACACAAGTCCTGACGGAAACTGAGTGAGGAGCTAGTAAGAGGAAGCAGGCCACTGAACTGATTTGGTCAGGTCTCAGCCTCCATGAACTCTATTTTGATTCATTCCATGAATCGCTTTAAAAACATCTGGGACGGGGGTGGGGACCAGAGGGAAAGCATTGCAGGTAGGGCCCTTGCCTTGTATGTGGCCAACCTGGGTTTGATCCCCTGGGCCCCATATGGTTCCCTGAGACCCACCAGGAGAGATCCTTGAGGGCAAAGCCAAGAGTTAGCCCTGAGCACCACCAGGTGTATCCCAAAAACCAAAGTAAATTAATTCAAGTAGAAAACATGTGTGGGGTTAGCTCGGTAGGACGGCATTCACTTCACATGAGCTCCTGGCTGTCCCCGCCCCCACCCCACCCCCCACCGCCACACAGCGTGTGTGTGTGTGTATGTGTATATGTATATATATATATATATATATGGAATACATGCCCTTCCAGCTGCCACATGGAGGGTTGGGAATGCAGTTCAACTGCAGAGCACTTGCCTTACAAATGTGTGAAGCCCTGGGCTTGAGCCCCGACACTGAAAATAAATAAATTAAAGGGGACAGAATCCAGCAGCTACACGGAATCTTCTTTTTTCATTAGCAGGAAACTGTCCCCACAGGTCAGCGTCTAATTCTGTCAGTCAGCGACAGAAGTCTGACGGTGACCAGTCAACCCTTAGCGTTACACTGGCGAGCAGAGTCAGGCTGGAGCTGTGTGACCCAAGTCATCTGAGAGAGCATGTTCTGCAGCTGCCAACTCCTTCGTGCTGTTCTCTTTTAAAATCTTTAATGTCTTTTAAATGCTTCCCCAATCAATATAAATGCCCTGGTGTGCCTCTCAGGCTACAGACATCAGCACCCGATGTCTCATCTTGAGCTTCTCCTAGCCTGGCACATTCCTCCATGCCCAGAACTCAGTGGTCCCCTTCAGCCATGCCGCACTCCCTCCCTTTCCCGATGAAGACACTGAAGAACATCTCCAAACCCCTGCCATGCGAAGGCCCCTGCCCTCACACACAGCTCACACACTTGGAGCTTACCTTGACTCCGGCCCTGGCACTCGTTAAACACTAGTTATTATCTAGTTGAAATACAGAATAAATAAAAGCAGTTACCATATTCTGTTGTCACATTTTGCCCGTCTGCTTTCCTAATTAGCTTTTCTAATGCGTAGACCAGCTTGTTCATCTGTGTAAGTGCCCTCGTGCAGGACACCTAGAAACTACTTAAATAAACAGCCCTGCCAGAGACTTCCCCACCTCCTGGCACACATTAGAATCACCCGAGGAACTTTCGAACCAGGGAATATTTAAGCCCCACCTGGGATCACTTAACATAAGACTATCTGGAGATGATTCCCATTCATGGGTACTGTTTAAATACCCAGGCAGACAAAGTGGAGAACCTTTGCTTTATATTCCAAAATGCGCCCCCCCTCCCATAAGAAACTCTCAAGGCAAGTGACTGGTAAAAGAAGATTGAGTTTCTTTTGTTGTTGTTTGGTTTTGGTTTGGGGACATACCTGCATGGATCCCCTGAGCACCACTAGGGGTGACACCCTCTA